AAAATTACTCCTTGCTCCTTACTTCATGAGCTCCACCTACAGTACCCAGCAGTTTTAAGTGATAGGTTTCAACAAGTTCTTTGACTGAAGGAGGAGGGACAGAGGCTATGTTAGGGGCACATTGCCTTCAGTCATCACTTCCAATGTACCAATCCCTATACCTAAAGAAGACTTATAATTAGTTTTATTCCTGTTTAAATGCACATTAGTGCCTGCTGAGCAATGTGTTTTAAAAGCATTTAATCAAGCCAAATTTTGATTTTATTACTGCATGTTCATTCAAATCAAAATTTGGCTTCCAAAAAAGCATTTAAGTGCTCTAATTAATGCTCTAAACATATCAATCAGCAGGTGCTTAACATGCCAACAGAATGATCAAAAGATTTGTTTGTAAATGTGATAAGAAAATGGATTTCACAATAAAAACCAAAAGTCATATTTTTTCTCACCAGGATTCAGGAAAGCATAAAATGTTATATATATACCTTCATTGTAAGTTGTATAATGTTTCGTACTGCTTAGGAGTAAGAATCTTTACATGATTCCATCACTGTTTCCCTTGCTGAACATATACTGAAAATATCCTTGCTGAACATATACTGGCTGAACACTGTTTGCATAGCTGACAATGGCTCATGGCTGCATTGTTTCATATGTCTGCTGATCCGTCTGGGTTTCCACAGCGCTATAAGTGCACAATAAACTTTTGTAATAACGAAATATAACAATACTAGAAATACATGCATGCAGCAACCCCTCGCCTTTTTTAACAGATGAAGAATAGCAATTTTACTCAACATGAAGTACTCCATGTTCAAAATAATAATAGTCAATATGGTAACATGAAAATAATATGAGAAAATAACAGGATATAATTTTTTACCAAAAGAATCGTTGATTTTCATAATTTGTTATTAAAAGGAATGTAGTTTTATGTTATGTGGCTTTCAATCGGCTAAAAGTTAATATAAAATGTAACGGTAAAGCGTTTCGAAACTTTGCCGTGGAACTGCAGGGGAAGCTGAAACACTCGCTTTGTTGGCAGTATAGTCAGTAGTTTGCTCGAAAATATGGTGAAATATATTTGCTTTATATAAGCAAAAGCTAGTTTTTGAGTTATATTTTGGTGAAGCCATATTAGTAGTAATATAGGTACCGTTCGACCCTTATTTTTGGGGCGGCGCGGGGCGGCGCAGTATCATTAGCATACGTCATAATTACATGCAATGACGTCACACGGGCAGGATCAGGCAAGTAATGACGTCACGCGGGCAGGTTTAAACAAGGACGTGTGAAACTTGCTGACTAAGCATTTTTTAGCGTCTCTCCACGTGTATGATACAATACAGGGATTAAGATTGGTTTGCTATGATTGGTTGTTTGATTTAACAAGCGTCTGTATAAAATCGACAAGCGTCTTGTAATAGGTATAGTTCTGCATCAGTCATGGAGTGTCTACACGGAAAAGCTGCTGCCTCTACAACTACAAACAATGGTACGTTTTGGTTTTGTGGGGAAAAACCAAGCTGTGAGTTCTTTTGCCCAGACGAAAATTGTTATATGTATACGACAGCTGTAGCTGCATTTCGTGCAAGTGGTTCTATACATCCAGTGTGTCCTACACATCAGAAATTTGCCAAGCTATGTGTGGTCGGAGACACAATGAAAAATAATTATGGACGACCCTTCTTCGTATGTTCTGAGCGAAAGAATCCCTGCAAGTTCTGGCAATGGGGAGACGTATTCGAAGGTCCAAGACCGGTATGTCAACATGGAATGGTGTGCTGTGAACGAAAAGTCAAGAAAGATGGTCCGAATCAAAACCGTCTGTTTTACTGCTGTCCGAAGGACGACTCTTGTGGTTTCTTCGAATGGAAGCAACAAGGCCCTCGGGTGACCAACACTGGCATCGTGCTCTTCAGTAATCCACTACAATACCAGTACATGATTGAAGAAACAGGAGAGACATTTAATAGTTCTAAATCTAACACTAAGGAGGCCTATGATGAATTTTGTAGATTTGGTTTAACAAGTGAACTTGATAAAATAGACCTCTTGTAATAATAATACGTTGCTAGTTAATTAATGTAAATTTGCATATATTTACTGAAATAAATACTGTGTGTGTCTCATTTGTTGTTCAATCGCTGTGGTGAGAGTATCATGGATAACATAGATATAATTTTTGATGAGTTGAAACGAAATGAAATTGATATTAATAAGCAAACTTTATCGTTTCATATAAATACAATTCTCGACCGCCATCGAGATCTATATCGTGCAGTGAATGCTCGTGCTCTAAACCTTGACCAAATCTACAGAGAGATCAATGTAACAAACTTTGGTTGTATTATTGCCTATTTAGCTTTGGTATGTGTACAAAATGATAGCGAGGAATCTATTCGTCACAATGTACAAAAAACCATCGAGGCATGTCGAATTTTTACCATTCCCAAGCATAAACCAAGTAAACGTCCAATTTTAATAACGCTCTCACTCACACTGATCACTTTATATATCAGTCTATAATTACTGCCTGTTTCATTTTGTTCAAACCTCTGAGGAGTGAGGATGCCTTGCTGTAAAGGTTTACCACAAATTTCCCTTCGAAAATTTTTCGAAAAGTACGCTGTATTTCTGCTTGCTGTGGTGGAAAAATTGTAATTCAAACTTCAGACATCGATGGCGGAGAAATATCTAAGCCAGATCTATTACGATCCAGAAAGCCCCGCAAGTTTTGGTGGGGTAGATTCAATTTATCGCGCCGTGAAAAACGAAGGGAAATATGATATATCGCAGAATAAAATATGCCAATGGTTACAAAAGCAAGATACCTATGCATTGCATAAACCTGTGAGATATCGCTTCAGGCGTAACCGTGTTATAGTTGGAGCCATGGATGATGAGTGGGAGGCAGATTTAGTCATTATGGATTCATTAAGTCAACAGAATAATGGGTACAAGTACGTTTTGACTGTTATTGATGTACTCAGCAAATATGCGTGGGTTGAAGCGATAAAAGCAAAAACTGGGAACAATCTTGTCAAAGCTTTTGAGAAAATAATCAAGAAAGGCCATAAACCGAAAATGTTTCACACTGATAAGGGGACGGAGTTTATCAATAGACAGTTTCAAACCTTATTGAACAAACATAGCATTCGATTTTTTACGACGTACAACGAAACCAAGGCATCAATTGTCGAAAGGTTTAATCGCACGCTCAAGACGAAAATGTGGAAATACTTTACAGCGAACAATACGCTCAAGTACGTGGACATTCTCCAGAAACTGGTCAAATCTTATAATCATTCTCGACATCGTAGTATTGGAATGAGACCGGTAGATGTGAATAAAAGTAACGAGAATATTGTGTGGCAAACACTCTACGGGAAGGAGTCGAAAAAATCAATCCAGTTTAAGTTTAACATTGGCGACCAAGTCCGGATTAACAAAGCAAAGCGAACATTTAAGAAAGGATACTTGCCCAATTGGACTGAAGAAGTGTTCACAGTAACGAAACGCGTGCCTCGGCGACTGCCTGTTTACAAGATTGCAGATTATGACGGTGAAGAACTGGAAGGAACATTTTATGAGCAGGAACTTCAGAAAGTCAACAAATCAGACAGTGACTATTATAGAGTAGAAAAAGTAATAAGATCACGCATGCGTAATAAACGTAAAGAGTATTATGTAAAATGGTTGGGTTACCCTGACAAGTTTAATTCTTGGGTACCAGCAGAGAGTGTAAAAGATCTGAAATAAATATATTTGAAACTCATAACTTGTATTCATTTGTGTGTTGGTCTTCAATATGGCAACACAGTTTTATCTCACGTTACCGAGTAATATTATTGTTCTATGGCTAATTTCCAAAATAATACAGTGGCAAATTTTCGAGTGAAATTGGCCGAAACCATTGTCTTGCCAGGCCAATGGGAAGTCGCATTGACGGAACTGCATTACCCACACACGTGGAGCACGCTAAAACGTGGAGTACAACAAACGTTTTATATAAAATTGGCAGTATCCCTTATCAAACTGTCGTGCTTAAAGAAACACAATATTCTTCTATTGAGCAGCTAACAAAAGCACTCAATGCCGGCATGTCAAAAGAAACACAAACGAAAGTAAAGTTTAGTTATAATCGCAGTTCTCGCAAAGTTTCGGTTGATGTAAAACACGACACAACTGTGTGGTTTACCGGAGAATTAGCAACCGTCTTGGGATTTGACCAGGACACTCTTATTGAAAAGAAAACTTTGAGTCCCTATCCTGCAGATATCAATGGTGGATTTTCCTCCATGTATGTCTATACTGATATCGTTGATGCACAGTTTTTTGGCGATGTGAAAGTACCTTTACTACGAATCGTTAATATCGAAGGGGAATATGGAAACACCTTTCACGCCAGTTTTCGTAATTTGCAATACGTACCGGTCAAAGTAAATTCTTTTGAGACCATTGAAGTGAATATAAAGAATGACCAAAACGAAAATGTCTCATTTGAGTTTGGCAAGTCAATCGCAACACTTCACTTTAGACAGAAGAGATCTCAGTACTTTATCTAAAAATGCGTGGAAGACTAGTTGTGGATGCTAAACTATTGAAAGACCATTTCTTGAGACAACAGCGTGGTGGGAATATCGCTGGGTTTCGTGGTGCACGTATGCAAAGGGGATATGGGATCGGAAGTATTTTCAAGAGCCTTGCGAGATATGCTATCCCTCTGTTCAAACAAGGCGCTAAAGTTGTTGGAAAAAGAGCATTGCAAGCAGCCACAGAAGTCGGTCAAGATGTACTCCAAGGAAAAAATGTTAAAGAAGCTTTTAAATCACGAGGAAAACAAGCAGCATCTGATGTTGCAAAAAACGCTGCCAAGAAAGTAATGACCGGAAAGGGTCGCAAAAAGGGTATAAAAAGAGCAGTGCCAGCTAAAATTCCCATTCGTGGTCCAACCAAGAAGCAGAAAACATCTCTCGATAACTATAGTCCAAAGTGGCATGGCTCTTGAAACAATGCATAAAGACTCCTGTATGTGTTCAAAATCTGAACTCGATTTATTTTCTATTCCACCGACTCAAGTGGTAATGGAAAAGGGATTTTGGGAAGCTGTTGATCCTATTACGAGCATATCTTCTTCAGATACGATAGAATTTTTATGTGCTGCAAATTCTGGTGTTTATACCGACTTAGCAAGCAGTTACCTATACGTTAAAGCAAAGATCACTACTGCGGCCGGAGGGAAATGTGGATGCTGACATTCAAGTTGGACCTTCAAACCTTTGGATGCATGCATTATTCTCACAAGTTGAGGTATTTCTGAACAACAAACTGGTCACCCCATCAAGCACAGCATACCCTTACCGAGCGTATATCGAAACGATCCTGAACTTTAGTAAAGACGCCAAAGATTCACATTTGACCTCAGCACTGTTCTATAAAGATAAAGCTGGAAAGATGGATGCAGTAAACCCTCTCACACAAGACGCCAACGTCAACACGGCATTAAAACAACGCCATGCATATACACGTGAAAGTAAATCTGTCGCCATGGAAGGAAGACTTCATTCTGATCTATTCACGCAAGACCGTTATATTCTTGGTGCTGTTCCAATCAAGATCAAGCTGGTGAGATCTAGAGATCCGTTTTGTTTGGTATCATCCGCAGAAGATCCCAATTTCAAAGTGGTCATCGAGGAATGTTTGTTTTGTGTACGCCGAGTTAACGTAGCCCCTAGTATTATACTGGCTCATTCCCAGTCCCTTCAACAAATCACTGCCAAATACCTAATATATTTCAAGGTGGTTTACCAAATCGTATCGTGATTGGAATGGTCGACGCGGATGCCTTTAACGGTATATATACGAAGAACCCGTTCAATTTTAAAAATTACGATATCACAACCATGGGTCTCACTGTCAACGGAGAGAACTTACCTGGAAAACCACTACAGTTGAAATTTGGAGCAGACAGTAATTACATTTCTGCTTTTCAAACCCTGTACGCCGGCGCACACAAGATTTTTGATAATCAGGGTAATGGTATAACGCGTGAAGAATATGCAAACGGTTATACACTGTTTGTGTTTGATCTCACTCCTGACTTATGCCTTGGTGATCATGTACAACCGATTAAGAAGGGAAATGTGTCAATTGAATGTCGATTTGGAACACCATTGGAGACAGCTATAAATATCGTGGTACTTGGTGAATTTCAAAGTCTTATCGAAATTGATGCGAACCAGAACGTGCTGTGTGATTTCAACAACTGAAGATGAATTCGCTGCAGATTATGAACATTCTCAAGAATGATCCGTTTACAAAAACGGTGTTTACGGATGTTTTACCGTCAGATCTTTACCTCGCGAAATAAGAAAGAGACCCAGAGGGTACATACTTAACACGGATGCCTCCGATATGCCCGGATCCCATTGGATTGCAATGTACCTTACAGAAGATGGTAGAGGCGAATTTTGGACAATATACATTATTCTTTGCTTTACATCGATGTAGACGTATTCCAATGTCAACCATTGCAAATATGTTTACGGATAGCAAAGAATGGAATGATGAGCTTGTGCGTGATTTTATAGACAAGTGGTACAAACACTAGATTTAGTTTTAAATACATTTTATTGTAAAATTTTCTCTTACAATTATTTTAACCATTTATATGGACTACTAATATTGTCTCTGCGTTTTTTCCTTTTTTCTTGCTGTACTTGAGGGGTGGTGGGAAGATTTTCTGGGATACCTTTGGTTTTATATTCGTGAACAATTCCAAGACGGTTTTCGTTTCTCACAATACCTTCGGGTACATTCAAATGTCTGAGAACTTTTGAAAACAATTCCCAGCTGTCGGGGTTGAAATTCTTCCTTTGACGTAGAGAATCATTTACCAAATCAACTATATTTGTGCTAGGAACCAATCTTCCTTTGAACACCATCTGGCCTTGTTCATTCCAACCAACAAGATCTTTATTTGACTTGAGTTTTTTAATAAGTTGTCGAGCTCTTGACTTCATAGTAGCTGGTACACTGTCCATGATATCTGTTTCAATCTCGTCTGAAGGTTCAGGCTCTTCGCTTGGCTGTTCTGCTCGAGATTCTTCAGGTTTATCGGTGTGCGTCACGTTTACTCGGAGAGGTTTATTCATTCGTTTATCATAAAAGGTTAAATAGCGTTGTAGATTCTGGTCGTATAACTTTGCCTTTTCATCAATTGGTATATCTTGTCGTCGAATAATATCTTGCATGTCCGAGTCTATTTCGTTGACCTGTGTCGCCAAAGGCGCGGCGAGTGGTTTCTTTCGCTGTTCAGCCATATGTTCAGGGACAAGTACTAATCGCTTGACGTGTTCCATTATAAAAAGTTAGCCAACTGTTCCAAAACTGAAGTGAGTAGAAATGGTAGGAAACCCTCCCCTTTTTGAACTAGACGGGTTCTTCTTTTTACGATAGGATTTCGTTTGTCAGCCGCAAACTTTATATGCTTGGAATGTGGTGCAAGTTTTTTAGCTGTTTTCGGTTTCAGTTTAATCGTGTCAAACCAAACATTTAATAGACACTGTCTTATAGCTTCAAACAGATCGTCTTCAGCCGCTTTCAAAATAGCTTTTCTCAGTTCAGGTTTACACTTGGCCAATACTTCCAGAAGTTCGGAGTTCCTCTTCATACAAGCAGACATGATCAAATGACCATTTTACACACGTTCCCACTTTCTTATACTCTGGCTTGATAGACATAATGCGTATCTGTTGGAAAGATCCCGGATCGAATCCGTATCTCGTCGGGACACGTAGGAGTTACGTCGACAAATAGATACGAATAGGGCTCTTTGGTTGCCAGTTGATAGGCTTGTTGAAAAAATTTGGTGTTACTGGGATACAGTTGTTTAGCGAGATGAATAATTTGACTTGCGTCTCCCACGTTTTTCGTTAAACATAAATAACTTGCATTGAGTGAAATTGTACGGTGTTCTTTGCTATGATGAAATAAATTTTGTACAATGTAGACCACACTCAGGTTACCATGATGTGATTTTTCGTGAATAATTTTGAAATAACTCCGTCCTTCTCACCCATGAAATCATCAATGACATATAAATTGCGTGTTTCCGGATTAATACTATCCAGTATATCTTCAGGTAAACCTTTTACAAATTTTATTCCAGGCACTAAATTTTGAATTTCTCCAAACGTATCTTGGTACTCGGCATAAAAATACACAACGTTTTCTGGAGGTTTGTCTATCATGACATTAACATAACTCAAAAGTTTTTTCACAGATGTAGTTTTGCCCGACTTTGTGCTCCCAGACACGAGAAGGCCAAACAGGTGTGTTAACTGTATGGAGTACATGTTGAAAATGAAATCATATATTTTGATGGTCACTATTTATATCATGCGTCCTATGAGTCTATACAATTCAGTTAAAACTACTTCCAAGTCCAAAGGTGCACATTTGGCATGTATAAGGAAAGGTTGTCTTTGTGCGGTGGAAAGTTCATGAACACCTGCTAAATGGTTAGATAATTTCAACAAATTTTTCTTGCCACAAATCGGACAGTCTTTACGCTTACGAGGCATGATGTAGAATGAAAACCTTACCGGACTCCCATCTCTTATATAAATGTCCCGCACGGGACTTTTTTTGTCCCAGAAGTCCCGGAAACGCTCAAAGTGTCCCTGCGGGACTGCTTGTCCCGTGCGGGACTTATTTTGTCCCTGAAACTCTGCATGGGGGAGGGGGAGAGAGAAATACACAGTATGTTTTTGAAAAATATATATATTGACTATTTACAAACTAAATATCTAATGGAATAGTGGAAACGCCGTCCTCCAAAACTTTACGTTTTGGATAAAAATAACTAAAAGCGTTCTTAACTTGAACATATGTACACATAGTATTATTTAAAACCCTAAAACCCCTATTTACACCCGACCCACTACGTTTACTTAAAAGCACATCTAAATATTTATCTTTATTAATTACATTATTTTTCTTATTTACACCCTTGCAACTATATTTATCTTTCTCCCCAAAACAATAATACGTCTTACTACATAAAGATACAATTCCATCCCCTTCCCATTCCACTTTAAACAATCCCGGTTTTCTCCTGTCGTATTTCACATGTTCAGTTGTATCGGAACGAGGAAACCAGTTACATTTATCATTCTCAAACGCCTCTCTTAAACCAGGCTTGACCAATTCTTCAACACTTTATAGGCACTGTCTGTATCCATCTCGCAATACTCATAATCGGAACGGTCAAGGTACGTATCTAAACAGTCGTAGTAAAACTGTAACATTCGGAGTTTCGCATACTGGTACACGAAGAACCCCACCTGTAAAATAAGAATAATTTATTAATTTATATTTCTAATGACAAAATGATCATGCAATACATACCTGTAGTGGTAAGTCCAACTTAATTTTCTTCTTAGCACTTTCCACTTCGTAGGTGTCATCGTCGATCACGTTCACTTGGCGGTAGAATGGTGAGTTGATTAATTCAGAAACCTCATCATCGTTGCAGTAATCCACCTTGCGATGACGCTCTTTGTTGGTGATGGTCTTCCCGTATGAGCTGTATAGAAATACAAAAAATGAGTATTTCTTGAATACGTCACGACAGCGTGATTTTAAAACTCACCTATTCCCGACCAATTTCATCGTGTCCGCGATGATGGCTTTGGAGGGGTCTGCATCACCAGCACGACGAGCATCCGATACAGCGTCACCGAAAGGTTTGAAGCATAGCTTAGGGGTATACTCGACTATCTGGTAGACGTGTGTTACCTAAAACGATAATACAATTTGTTAAACATTTTCTCCTGCAATTTTACAAGTTTTTAATATTTAAAACGTACCTCTAAACCATGTTCTAAATACCATTTTAGAAGAGGTGTTGCCAACATTATCTTCTTTCCGATCATACTTCCAATGAGACTCCGCCGAGGTCGGGGCATGATGTTGTTTTCTTCGGCATAGCTCTTCATGAACTCACCGATGTCTTCTCGACGTATTTCGGTATTCTTGAAGATGGGGCACATCTCTTTGAAGTATTCTCGCAAACTCTCAGGTACGTGGATATCACACTCCACACATCCAAATAGTTTATCATTCTTCACTGCGTTGATAATGGACTGTTTGGTCATGGTTTTCACTTTATCCAGTGGTCGACGCAGATGGGTGGCGATGAATCGTTGCAGCGCGCTGTTTCGTTTCTTCATATCTCGCCACTCACATTCCCAACATTCAACGAGATTGAATCCCTGCTTCGTGATATAGGCACTGTTTCTTTTTGTCTCTTCAAGGAGTTCTTTCATGGGCTTATCACGTTTCTCGTTGACTTCTTTCCCTTCGTTAAGTTGGCAGTTGTGGCCATGCCAATAACATCCTAGTAGAATAAAGTACAATACAGTTAAACCTACAAAAGAAAAATAAATTATCCTGCAAGCCCACGCAATCGCTAAAAACTCATTAGCTCACTCCCACACAATTAACTTAATCCTAGCTAATTAATCTTAACTAATTTCAACTTACCATGAAACTGGAACACCGTTTGTGATTCAGCGTGGAAACCGTCAACGGGGAGACGACGAGCGCCAATTCTTTTCTCCGTATTGTTGTACTCGTGTCTGATACTAATGCCGCGACTGTACGCTTGCCATTCTAACCATTCGATCGCCATTTTCCCACTCCACCGTTTCTTAAACCCGTCCTCCTCTAACCGTCTTGTGTACTGCCCCGTTGGCATATCTTGCATGATGGCCCACAAGTAGAGCGCATTGGCATCGTAACCAACTACATTCTTGCAGGGTTTCGATTCTTTTCCTCTGGCTCGCATTTCTTCCTTCCGTATGGATGATTTCTCTTTCTCGTGGTATCTGTTAAAGATAATGCTGGGCCCCCCTACGTTATTATCCTTCATTGAATAATACATATCCTTGTCCTTCTCGCTGAACAAGGAGAAGTAGGTGCCTGGAATGTTTGAAAATAAATATTTCATAGTCAAGCCAGGCACACTCACACCGTCCTTAAACATATCAATGTTCCTTTCTTGCCAGAAATTACTCATTTTATCAATTGCGTCAAGGAAGGGGACTACGTCAAGGTTGTTATACCACACGAGAAAGTCGCGGAAAGTTGTCATATTCTGTTCGTCCCATACACCCTGGCAATACTCATACTGTTCCTCGGTGATGTCGGTTCCGGATAGAGTGGAATGGAAGGTTTCGCGTGGTGGTAAGGAGCAATGATTGAGTTTGTCGAGGGAGTCGACCCACTCGTACGGGAAGTAGCCTTTGGTCTGGGAGCACTCGTACGCTTTGAGGAACTGTTCGTAACTAAATCCCGGAGCCAGATAGTTTGTGATATCGAGGAATTTTAAGTGCTGAGTCTTAAGACACATGTGGTTATTGTTCCTCTTTATCACAAACTTAACTTGTTCGTGTTTGACGAGATGTGAAAAGAAGGGTTTTTCGCAGCGTTAATATCATATTTACCAGAGTTGAATCCAAGAATTGGTAACTCTTGTAAGTATTCTGACAACTTATCTTGGAGTTTGAGCAGAGGATGGACCACATCCTAAATAAATGAAAAGGTGTCATAAGTAAAATGCAAGATACTTACACATCCCTACTAATCTATATAACCGCTAAAATGGATCATGAGTGTGATACTCACTTTCTCTTCAACGTCTTTAGCTTTATCCACTTCGTCTTCATCTACCCCACACACATCTTCACTCGCCTAAAAAGGTACACATATGGTAAGCACAGGAAAGACCACTGTTGAGCTCAAACCTTATGTTACTTACCTCACTATTCAACCCCATCAAACATCCCACCATTTCCTCTATCATCTGTTCCTCTGTATTTTGCTAAAACATAAGATATATTAGAATATAAAGAGTATAAGTGCAAAAATAACATTCCTATAATTTACCTCATTATCCTCCCCCGCGGCAACTTCCATAACCTCGTTTTCCCCCACCTAAAGACATAAGAAAAAATATTAAGGATAAGAAATACACTAAGAATCTAATACGTGTGAATTATACCTCATTAACTCGTTCATCAATATGACGAAAAACGTCGGAGAACTGGTCCAGCAACAATCCATAGCTTTCTTGGCTGACCTCAACCAAATATTCCGCGAAGTGTTGGATCATTTCACTTGTACTGCCAGACGAGACGAAGCATTTGGGTTGATCATAACCAGGGACGTTCGAACATACAGAGACACTCAATGGGATATGTTCGGCTTCCCACGTTAACTTTGCTGTATTTCGTGGATGTTCGGTTTCACGTTTGAAATAACATTCAAAGTCAAAGGTGGCACGGTAAGGAAAGTACTTGAGGTCTTCAGGGATTTCGATTCCTTCATCGGCCAACAAATCGAAGATGGTTTGTGGAACTTTGTAGGTACCGCCAGGGAAAACATGACGTATAGTTGCTTCGCATGTTCGCTCGTGTCGGTTTAAGGCTCTCGCTGTCTTCCACATTTTGTCACATTTGCAACAACAATAGGACTTGGAATACATGGCCAAATTCTTAATGTAGCTGAAGTGACTACCGTAGAGGTTCAGATACATCGAATTGGTATATCTACGGTGGGAGCGCTGTATCAGTTGAGCCACAATGGAGGTCTTGTCTTCGTCTTCGTCATGTAGCTCTGTAAGGCGATACACGTAAATGTTCAACTCGAACAACTTTTCCAGTTCCGGTAGTTCCTCTAGGGTAACACCATCAAAATCATCATCTTCCGAATATTGTTCATAAAAATGATGAGTATCACGTTCTAAATTTTTGGGGTGGCAACCTTTGTGCATAGCCAAACAACGAAAGAAACAAAGTTTATCCTCGTATGGTAAACTGGTATTACTATCACAGTCGAGCGACACAATGGCAGGATTCTCCAACACGTATTTGGGTAAACGCACAGAACGTCCGATGGGATGGTCTCGAAGTTTGGTGAAGTAGAAGGTAACGTTGGTAATATCCATGACAATCCATTTCGAGTTGGGCCGTTGTTGTTTGGCCCATTCATGAATGTCGATGTTTTCCAACGCTGTACGCACTTGAACCAAATCCTCGCGGTTATTAATCTGGAATGGGGAGTCGAAGACACGGTTGTTGTTAGCTGAGGGGTGGTGGTATTGCATTTGTTGCCGTCTCGTTATTAAACAATACGAAACCAAAGGAGAGATTTAACTTAAAGACCGTGGTTTAATCTTCAAATATACGGGCTATATCGTTGACAAGTTGACCCATATTCGCTGAGCTTAGACGATAGTTGTATCAATCTTGCACTCGATTGCCTCGGCTTTGTCGCGTACGTATAGCACGCCAATGGTCTCGGTGAAGTTGGGAAGGCAGGTTGGATGGTGGTAATTGGGGATCCTGGGGGAACTCTTGGGGTCCTATAGAAATAACACCCGATTCTTTATTTTTGTCTAGAGCTTCGCACTAATTTTGTCATACAAACACCCGATTCATAAAAAATTTACATAAGTCTAACATGAATACATTAGGAACATGCAAATTTCACATAGCAACATGATAAACCCACGCAACCAAAATTACTTTTACCTCACTATAAACCGCTAGCGAATGTTACATAAGTCTAACATGAATGATTAGGAACATTCCACACTATAAACCCACGCTATAAAAATTACTTGATTATTTTTACCTCACTATAAAACGCTAGCGAATGTTATAAAAATGATGTAGCTTAAATGCTCGTACAATGATATAAATTAATTGTTCTAAAGCAAATGAACATAAGTCTAATATGAATGATTAGGAACAGTCCACGCTATAAACCCACGCTTAAAGATTACTCGATTATGTTTATCAGGTTTTCAAAACACAAACATCAGTGAAACAACATGAAAACAGCATGAAAATATTTTTCAAATGTAAACGTTAGGATTTCAGGCAATGTTTTAAAACCGAGGTTGCGAGTAATTAACATTGTTCATATATTCATCAAATCACCACAATCAATATACTATATACGGTATAAAAATATGAATTTCTTACCTTCGCTGACGACTGTAGACGTGGAAGCACCTGAAAAGGGAAAAAAATGTATTAGTGTGATTTTAACCCAAATTATTACACAGCATATATACTCTCTTACCTTCGTTAACGCGTGTCGAAGATGACGGCGGTTCTTAAAAGAAAAAATATATATGTATAAATACAAAGTTAGTAATCAAAATATTTTCATTTATACATACCTGGTTCATCAGTTCTTTGCCTTTTTGTTCGCCGGGTCGGCGTCTTCGTACGCTTCCCACGACCAACTTGATGGACATCGTGTTGATGGGCTTGTAAGGGGGATATATTGCGGAACACCTCACCGCAGATATTGCAAGTATATTCCCTTTGGGCTCTTCGTTGTTCGTGCATTCTCACATGCCGGTTCAAAGCATCCTTGAAATAATATAAGTAGATATTATTAGCTCAAAATAGTTTACCATGTTTTGAAATATATCCCTGTAAATTACGTACCTTCCGATTAAACGTTTTGTGGCAACGCGAACACTCGTGATCTTTGTCACTGTGAGTTTTCATGTGTCGGTTCAAAGCATCCTTGAAATCATATAAATACTATTAGCTCAAAATGTTTTAATATGTTTTGAAATATATCCCTGTAAATTACATACCTTTCGATTAAACTTTTTGCGACAACGCGAACACTCGTGGTTTTTGTCACTGTGAGATTTCATATGTCGGTTCAGGTTGTCCGAACGCGTAAATACGCGACCACATTCATCACAACACAAACTTGGTTCTGTCGAAGCCGTTTCATCGTGTTGCCAATCATTCCATTCCGCAAGAATCTCCTCTTGAGTTTCAGGGGACCAAGAAAATGTGTCCACGGCACAAAGCTGGCGATTAATCTCATCATTTTCCAGTTCCCTCACAAATCGATCTCTCCTGAACATATACACAAAAAATACTTGTAGGATTGCCTTAAATACTTAGCTGTAAATAACCAAAGTCAACTTACCACATATTTTCCCGATGTTGTTGTGCCATGTTTCTCCTCAAAAAACTTTATCTTCCCACCAGCAATAAACGTTAATTCTACCAACAAGATAAATTTCAGCAGCTTGCCAAAAGACCTCCACTAAGAGCGTTGTCAAAATATAGACGATGCTTGTTACAAGACGCTTGTCGATTTTATACAGACGCTCGTTAAATCAAACAACCAATCATAGTAAGCCAATCTTAATCCCTCCATTGTATCATAAACGTGGGGGACGCTAAAAAATGCGTAGTCAGCAAGTTTCGCCCGATCGTGTTTAAGCCTCGCCCGCGTGACGTCATTGCATATAATTATGACGTATGTTAATGAGTGACGTCATTACGCACCCTCCCTCCACCACACTCCACCACCTCCACCACACTCCACCACACTCCACCACACTCCACCACACTCCACCACACTCCACCACACTCCACCACACTCCACCACACTCCTCCTCACTCTTCCTCCTCACTCCTCCACCACACTCCACCACCTCCACCTCCACCAGCGCAAAAATCCGGGTCGAACGGTACCTATATTACTACTTCCGTCATGGCTAGAGTTGGCAAGTAAGCTTTAGGAATAAGTAGATACGTACATATTACAAGCCTTATATTTAACTGAGACTTTTTTCATGATTTGGCGTTCTCAATCAAGTTATCGAGTATATGCGGGAAGTTGGAAGACCAGCTCTAGCGCTTGAACACTCCAAATCACGAAAACATTCTTTTATAATATAATTTGTTTATCAAAATACAAGGTTTTTCTTGCTGATGAAATCTTATTTTCTACTAACGCAAGAAAAGTGCTAAAACGTTTCTGATTGGTCGTCAGAAAATGGACTGATCGGCGGCACGGCAATGGAATGCTTCAAACGCTCAAAATAATATTGTTAATTATTTTGATAATTTAAGGCCTTGCTTTTATCGCTAAAAAGGGAGCAGTAGTTACGCGTATTTAGGTTGGAATTATTTCAATATTTGGCCCGTTTATACAGCGCTTTGTTGTATTACTCTAGACTAGAAAATACATGCATGCTGAAACCCTCGCATTAAGGCCGTTTATCACTAGGCGCAATTTTCCGCGCGGAGCGGAATTTCTCTTTGTCTTTTCTAACTAGTTCCACCCGAGAAATCACAAGACAAAGAAAAATTCAGCTCCGCGCGCAAAATTCCGCCTAGTGGAAAACGGCCTTTACTGACAAAACTATTATGTTTTTTAAACATGAAGTACTGAAAGTAGTTGTCATGGTAGCACGATTATTTTAAGAATTAAAATCTCCCCCCCCCCCCCCCC